CCCTTCCTCCACTGATCCTGGGTTTGGAGAAGCCGCCTGTCCCCACTGTGGTGGGTAGATGTTGCCCAGCGTCTGAGGCCACCAGGGCCCTGTCCCGGCAGGCTGCCTGTGCCCGGCGTGGGGGGCTGGTCACTCACTATGTCTAGCCTGGAGCACACCTGAAGTGGCTGCTCTCAGCCCCCTGGAGAAACTCCCGACACTTCCCTGGTTTCCATGGCGATGTCCGTTCCTTTCCGACCGCTCCTCAGAGGGATCGTAAGCTCCTTGCTGGATACTTGGGCCTCGCGCTCCGCCTCGGTCCTTCTCCAAGTTCTGGCGTCTTGGTCGGGCGCCGTTCGTTACCCGATGGGAAAAAGGTAAACTGAGTCGGAGCCTGGTTATTTCCTCCTCCCTGGGGTCCAAGACGGCTGTGCTCACAGAGCGGCCCCCACACTGCCGGGCCAGCGGAAGTCCCCGGGGGCTGGTGGTCTAATGACCGCGGGTGAACTGAGCTGCCAGGGTCGTCGCCTACACCGAGCCCGGGAGACGCGGGATGCGGGACGTGGGGCGAGTCCTGTCAGCTCGCCGTGGGTCCCGGTCCCGGCCTAGTCCTCGTCACTCAGCAGCCGCACTAACAAACCATGGCCGTGTCTGGGCCTCAGGTTCCTCGTCTTTAGAATAAAGGCTACTCTGCAGGGCCGTGGGGAGCACCGGGGACGGTGCCGGGGGGGCCCAGCACAGCGGGAGCCGTGACACGTGTGTGCTGCTCATGTGACTCGTCACCCAGTTTTTCCAACCTTCGCGTCCCCTCCCCCGAGCCGTGGGTCCTGCCTGCCCGCCCCCTCGTGGCACCGGGCGTCAGCTTGGACATCCTGGCCGCTCCCGTGGCGCGTGGCGAGATCTCGTGATTTAACGTGCGTTTCCCTGACGACTAATGCTGTTCGGCATCTTGTCCTGGGCTGATCCGCCATGCGTATCTTTCCTTTGGAAGAGTGAATGTTCCAGCTTTGGGCCATTTGATTGCATTGTTTGTCTTTGTAATATAGAATCGTTTGAGCCCTTTATGAGTTCTGGATTCTACTGTTCCGTCACATGTGTGTTTGGCAAACATTTTCTCCCGGGCTGTGTTTTATTTTGTCTAAGAGTCTCTGACCAGCCCCCAGTCACAAAGATTCGCTTCCCTGTTTTAGATGTTTTAGAGCTTTAGGTCTAAGATCCATTTGGAGCTGATTTTGTCTGTGGCAGAGCTATAGCTTGGAATGTAGAGAAGCAGATGGATTAGCCCAGCCCCAGAACTGGGGACAGTGATCGGGTTAGCCGCTCTCGTGGTGCGTGGCGAGATCTTGTGATTTAATGTGCGACCTTCTGCCAAGGGACTGATTCCAGTGGACGCGAGAGGTTCACAAAGCCACACGGCCATGGTCTCAGCTGGATCTTGACAGACACTGATCACTTCAGCTTCCCATCTGGAAGCCGAGAGCACATTGTGGTGCGTGTTGAAATAGTTCTGCCAAATTTGCCTCATCATTAACTTTCAATCACTGTTAATTTTAGACAGGACTCTTAATTCAGGGTTTTTGTCTTTGTCAAGTTGATGGAGATGACTGTTTTTAGCCCTGAAGTGATGGCGGCAGGGTGCTCCTCCACCCAGGACGGTAGTGTGCCCTCTGTCACCGCCGGTAATGAAACGCCAAGCTAGTGATTTAGCTAAATCGGCTCGGGAGGTTTTACATGTGGAGCCTGATCTGACAGTTCTGGTTTATGGCAGGTCGTTCTCGTGAAGGGAGCATTCTATCTGCTACACTTAGGGCGCAATTCAGCCATATGTTTGGGTCCCAACAGGATTGTTTCCATCTTCGTCCTTCACAGGAAGATAGTGACTGCCCCCGGGGAGAGCTCCGAAACTAGATTTCAGAAACGAAGATCTCCTTGTGCGTGTGTCTAGGAACCTACCCTTTCCACCGTTTCCTTCTGTCTGAACAAGTTACCAGTACACCCCAGTTTTCATGATGTAGGCTGTATTTCTTGTCCCTTTGCTTTTAGCTAGAATTCCTTAGACTAACCTGAAATAATTAACCTGAACAAGCCAGGGTCGTGCTTATTCATCTGAAAATGAAACCAATTTGATCGATGGACGTTACCTGAGCGAAACTTCCTGTTGTAATACACGTCATCGCTTCTCTCCTGGCTGATGTTTATGTTAGAGGGTTCCATTCAGATAAGTTAAAGCACTTTGTGGGGTGCCTTCCCTTTCCCTTCCCCACCAAGGCCCGTGTGCCAGGCCTTGCCCACGGCGTCCCCAAGCGGCTACCAGTGTCTTCCGCTCCCCACAGGCCCACTCGCCACACGAAGGGTCACTGGCAGCTGAGAGCTAACCCTGGTCTGCCCCACCCAAGCTCGGGCCCATTCCGTGGGGGTCTCAGAGGGAAGGTCACTTTCCTCTTCTTGCCCCCTTATCCACATGGACACAGATTAATTCTTGGCGTTTTTAAGGGACCTTAGTTGGGACAGGCTGCAAAGGAGCCTCTTGTCCGCTCCTCGTTTCTCCAGCGGCATCGATCTGGTGCAATCAGTGTGCCCGTCGCACACCTTGAAACAGGAGTGTGTGGTTTTCGTGGAATTCCGTGGCCTCCCGACCCCGTCCTGGGAGGGGGCCGAGGATGCCGCATGAGAACGCGCCGGCTCGCCCTGCGGACTTGCTTTGAAAATCCGATTCTTTCAGGAAGCTCCTTCGTGCTGCGGTTCGCGCCCTCGCTGATTGGTTTGCAGAGGGTTGGGCGGGAGCTGGGCGCCCGAGCCGTGGTGGGGGACGGGAGGTCACGCTTGCTGCTGGGTGACTGTGGGGCGGTCGTGGGGAGCAGACGCGGCCTGTGTGGCCCCCCAGGCAGATCTGGACAATGGGTAGAAACTCAGGGGAAAAGGTTCAGCTAAACAGGAGGTGGGGCTTTGGGAGGTGGGAGCGCCCACCACATGAGCTATGCAAGTTCAAGGCCACTTGGCTGAGGTGCCGCAATTGTAGTGACAGTGTGGATGGGGCTTCACACTCCACAGACCAGAATGACAGGTACTGGTCTCCCCACCTGGCGTCCTTCTCACCACAGACAGACAGACAGTATTCACGTCCCGTTTTGCAGGTGGGTCGGCCAGGGCTCGGAGACATGGCGCACTGGCAAGGCTGCCTAGCTGGAATGGCGCAGAACCCTCCAGACCCTGGGAGGTTTTTTTTTTTTTTTTCCTGGCCTCTTTCTAAGCAGAGGCAAAGGATTCTCTAGAAATCTGTCGCCTTGTGTGTAGGGTTCAGGCCGAGACCTCGCTTAGGAAACACGGTGGAGACAGCTGCAGAAACCCGCCTTTTAGAAATTGCCAAATGTTATTTTAAAAATTCTTTTCTTAAAATTCTTCATCTTAGACGTTTGAAGCCCGACCGCGATGAGCTGCCTCTTGGGGCTCCGGCCCCCTCCCCCGCATCTGCGGCTACATTCTGCCTTCTGGCCACCCAGAGCCCGGCTGGGGACAGGATGAGCCACAGGCCCCCTCAGATTTCCCAGTCACAGCCACTTCTAGAAGTGGTGTGAACACCCAGAGTGCCCGCAAGCGGCTCCTGCACACGTCACCAGAAGAGTCCCCTTGGGCGTGGGCCGCTCGTGTTGTCGGGAAGCCCAGATGCGGGCCCACGAGGCCGCAGCCACTGTTCTCAAGGGCACCCCCAACGCTGGCCTGGGACTTGAGGCTCCACCTGGGCCTCCAGGCAGGCCCGCCGTGCACGGGACAGCTGCAGCCTGCGCCCCGGAGTCTGGCCTTCTGGGTGTCACGGGAATAGCACCCGCAGAGGGCGGGTTTCCGCTCTCAGCCTCGTTTCAAACAGACGCCTAAGCTGCCGACAGCTCTCTACGATTTCGCCGATGTTTCCTGTCACGCTGGGGTCCCTGCTTCCATCCCCTCCCCAACACACGCTGACAAGGAGGGGAGCAGCTTGCGCCAGGGCGGCCACGCTGCTGACAGCCCTCGACTCCTTCTGGTGAAGCGGGGCAGACCCTGGGCCCCGGGCATGTCCTGCCAAACGCACAGGAGCGAGCTGGCTCCGTTTCGCGGGTCTGGCGGTTCCCATCTCTCCGGCTTCTGCGGAGGTGACGCGTGCTTTGCCATTTATGGAAATGGTGTGAAAGTTTCCTGTTTGAGGAAAGGAGGCGGGTTGATTCAAAGCTCGTAAGGATGTGTGCTCCTGCTGGCGCCTGGTGCAGATGGCGAGGGTGGCCCCACAGCGAGCAGACGCTGGCTTCCTGGAGCTGTTTGGCCGCCCGGCCCTGGCCACTGCTCCTGGCTCTGTTGGGATGGGACGGTCACTTTGACCTGCGAGCCCAGCTGAGAGAGCCTCATGGCCCAGGGGTGGCCTGGTGGACACGTGGGGCACAGAGCTGGGGGAGGAGCTGGGGGAGCAGGCTGTGCCCAAGGCCAGCGGTGTTAGAGCCAGCCTTTCCCAGGAGGTGACATCAAAGGCCTCCCTAGGGCAGCTGCACCTAAAAGGTCCCCTTCCTCCCTTCCCCTCCCAGGCAGGGGCGAGTGAGCGTGTGGACTCAGAAGGCAAGGCCCCCACGAATCCCGCCCCCGATTCGTCCTTATCAGTGCCGTGTCCGCCCTTCTCTTTGAAATGATGCCCAGAAGGTGGACGTGTCTCATCCCAAGGCTCCCCAGATGTCCCTGGATTTCCCTGGATTTTTAACAGGGGAAACGTCAACGTTGCTGCCCTGGGGAGGGGAGGGGGTGTCACCATCCATCTGCATTTGAGAACCAGGGGCAAGGGGGACTTGGGGGGCAGACTGCAGGTCAGTCCAGAGTGGGGGTGCTGATGGGGGAGGGAAGTAGGGGCTGGACTGGGGGGGCTGGTGGTGACAGACACAGGGCTCCACGCCAGGGCCCACAAGACATTTGGGATCCCATAAAAATGTTTTAATTTCCTTTAACATCAGAAGAAGGAAAAAATGTTTTAGGTCAAGGAAATATTTTGATACGTAATGGGACTATGTTCTCCTTTATACCAACGCGGCCGTCAAATGTCATTGTTAATGTTCTTCTGGAGGAGGCGGCTCATGTTCTTATGGAGACACCTTAGGGAGGCAGGTGTCTCGGGCTCCCAGACGCCATCTTGCTCCCTAGATGGTTAAGGGGGTCGATTCTCGAAACAGGGACAGGGTGGCATTGTCCTTCCCTCTCGCTTTCGTGGGGAGATAAATTAGTCTTCGCAGAGGTCAGATGGGCCCCGAGCGGCTCCCTCCCAAGCTGGTACCTGACCACCGGTTCCCCTGCTCTCCCGACTGTCCCGAGGCTGGCCTTTGGGGTGGCCAGCCTGTCTGGACTCCATAAAGCCAAAGGACATTGTCCGGGGCCCACCGGGGCCCAGTCTCGGCCCTGCCAGCCGGGTGTCACCACAGGCCACCCTCCGCCTTCAGCTGTGTCTCCTTCGTTCCGGGCTCCTCGGTTTGACGTGATGGCCTCGTCTCCAGAGGAAAAATTCTAGGGGGAAATGAGCATGTGGTTTTCCGGCTGGGGCTGGGGGGCGGCTTCTGGTGGGAACAGGATCAGCCCTTCCCACCCGCCTCGCCAGAGGCGCCGGGCGCTCCGCGTGTCGGAGGGGGGCCGTAGCAACTGCACCCCAGTTTATCCAATTACCTGTTACTGCCGAGGACAGAGGCGGAAAATGCCAGCTCTTCCAGCCAGAAACACTGGAGCAGCGTTTTGAACAGCAGCGGAAAAAAAAAAAAAAAGAATCTTGTAATTTTATTCATAATTTTACGTAAAGTGACTATTGCAAAGGAGCGATGGGCGAAACTGGAATTCAGTCAGGCTCTGAGACACGGAGAGTAAATAATATTTTCACAGGACAGCTGGGGTGGAAAAGTCTACCAAGACCCACCTATTGAAATACACATTATCCCTGAGACAGATTTGATGCGAAAACGCCATTTTCCATGGATCGGCGATGTTCTTAGTCATTTTCTGCTGACTGGTTAGATTGATAGGAGCCCTTTCGAAGCGTCGTTCTCAGCTGTCTGTTTTAAACATTGGGTTTCGTGCCTGCGAAAGGCGCCTGACTGACGGAGGGCTGTCACCCGTCTCCGCCCACGGCGGGACCCCAGCATTTCCTGAGGCGGCTCTCGGGGAGCGGCGTGTAGGAGACCTTCAGGGAGCCACCCCAGGAGCCTCCCGACCCTTCTCCGAATGGGCCCCAGCCCTTCCGGTTCCCAGCTGCGTCACCTCTAATAAGCTGAACCTCGGTGTCCTCGTCTGGAAAAGAGGTGTCACTGTCCTGGGGCCACCATAGCAGATGACCACCCAGGGTGGTTAAACCGCAGAGATTTCTCACCGGGAGCCGGAAGTCCAAGGTCACGGTCTCGGCAGGTGGTTTCTTCCCGAGAGCCGCGAGGGAGGGTCCGCTGCCCTGGCTTCCGGTGGCTCCAGTAGCCCCTGGACTTGTAGGTGGCCAGTCTCCTTCCACTGTGTTCGCTTCGCCCTCCCTCCGTGCACGTTGCTCTGTGTCCAAGCTCCTCTTTTTGTCACATCGCGTTAGGGCCCAACCTAACGACCTCACTTCAGTTTCCCTATTTTTCAACAAGGTCACAGGTACCGTGGGCTGGGACTTCCACACCTTTTGGGGGGACGTGCTTCAACCGATAACAAGAATGAGTACAGGTGGCCTTTCCTGCGGAAACAGAGGAGGAGAGTGGTCTGTGAGTCCAGGGTGGCTCCCAGGGGACATTGGAAGTGGGCACGGCAGTCGGGCGGGAGGACGTCTCGTTGGGCAGGAACAGCGTGGACCGTCGTTCAGCCCTCCCCGGAGCTATTCTTCGTCCATCCTGGTGGGGCCCGGAGACAGAGCAGATAGCCACGTGCCTGCCCTCGGGGGCACTGTGGACTTTGAGAGTGACAGACAGGAAAAAGCTTGAGAGCTGCTGGCAGTCGGGGTATTTGCTTCCTGGGGCAGCCGCGACAGGGCACCGCCGACCGGTGACTGACAGCAGAGACTTGTTGCCTCCCAGCCTGGAGGCCGGAGGCCGAGATCAGGTGTCGGCAGGGCTGGTTCCTTCTGAGGCCGAGGGCCATCTGCTCCCTGCCTCTCCCGGCTGTGGGCTTCGCTGGCATCTTCGTCATGCCTCGGCCCATAGCTGCATCACCTGATCTCCGCCTCCGTCTTCGTGTGGCCTTCTCCTGTGCGTCACCTCTCTTCTTCCCCCGAGGACGTGCGTCATTGCTTTCGGGCCCCCTCACAGACTCCGAGATGATCTCATCTCGAGCTCTTAATTACCTCCGCAAAGGCCCTTTCCCCAAGCGAGGTCACAGTCACAGTTCCTGGCATGCTTTGGGGGCTGCATTCAACACTATGTCCAGGATCTGTGGGGTCGCGGAATGGCCGCCAACCTAGACTGGAGGTGGGGAGCGTTCTGGAAGTCTTCCTAGATAGACGTGCCTGCAGCGAGGCCCTGGGAGGAAGGGATGCCCCCGGTGAGACCAGGGACGTGCGAGGGACACGAGCTGAAGGCGGAGCAGAGGGGAGCAGGACACAGGGCGAGGCTGCAGGTGCGAAGGGGGCGGGCCCGCTCAGGTGGGCAGCTGTCCGTCACAGCTGATTGGAGCATCGCGTCTGTGCATTCGTGTGCGCACTCGTCCGTTCATTCACTCGTCTGTTCCCGAACCCGGCCAGGTGCTGTAGCAGGTGTGGGGATGGAGACCCGCCACCTCCAGACGGTGTGCATGGGAGTCAGTGTGTGCGGGACATCGAAGCCTCACCACTCAGTCGTCCTTCCTGTCACTGCTCGGTTGCACACAGGCTCGCAGAGGAGAAGTGACTGCGGCCCCGCCACGATCTGGAATTGGAACTGTGAGACGTCCTGTGCAAAGCCGGACGCAAGGCCTAATGGGGTCCTTGCTGGGTCACGGCGAGCTCACAGGTGGGCTCTGGGGGAGCGGTGCTGCACAGCGCCCCCCCACCGGCAGCCCCCAGCTGCAGCCCAGCTCCTGTGGGCACCACCAAGACCAAGGAAAGCCCATGAGTGTAGCGTGTCCAGTGCCGGACCAGTGAATATGCCGGCCACTGGCCAGCACTGGGGTCCATGAGGCCCGGGTGTCCATCGGGAGGGGAGGCCGCTTCAGGCCAGTTCATTGGGCATCCCCAGAGGCCCAAGCGTGGGCTGGGGGCTCGGTGCAGCGGAAGCACGCCTTGCCGCCATCTGCCCCATGCCGTCGTACGAGGCTGGGGTGCACTGTGCAGACCTTCCGTCCCCCGGAGGCCTGAGGCTGCATCCCAGGGTCACACTGCTGACCTTGAGGCCCAACCCCGCCACGTCTGAGCTGTATGAGTTGGGGCAAGTAACTTCCCTCGGTGTGCCTCAGTGTCCTTGCCTGCAAAATGGGGACAAAATGGGTCCCGGGGACCACGGCTGTCGGGAGCATTGATGGATAATGTCCGTAGGGTGCGTAGTGCAGGTCCAGGACGGACTGAAGCACTGTTGTTTTAATGGATAGTGATGGGGAAGAGGACATTTTCATGGCTCAGGCAGGCAGGTGACGCAGGTCGCTCCTGCCACATTCTATGGGTTCTGTGGGCAGAAGTTAGCCTCAAAGCCACACCTGTCTCACTGGGGGGGCCGGGCTGGCTGTGTGAAGGGCATGGGGCTTTGGAGGATGCAAACATCCTCCCAGTGTGGACAGCTCAGGGGCCAGGGGACTGCCCCCTACGACCCTCCTTTGGGGACATTGTACCTCATTGACGTACCAGAGAAAAAGGGTTATGGCTTCAAGTGGGCAGGGGTCACAGGTTCAAGGCCATGGCTCATGTGACTTGTTCTGGTCCCCATGTGCTGGGGACACCTGGGCGGGGCCCTCCCGTCATGCGGGGGAGCCGCCACCACTGCTGTTCTGTGACGGGCTGAGGTCTCTGTCCACAGGGCTGGCTTGACAGTGGGCTTGAGCATGGCCGAGGCCCAGCACGTATCTGGGGCCCATGTGGATGGGTATGTTCCGAGGTCCCCAGAGGTGAGAGGGAGGCGGGTGGGGGGCTTGCACAGTCTCAAACCATTTTTTTTGCATCTGGTTGATAGGTCTTCGGGTCTCTCTCTTTTTATTATAACATTTGACTTTAAAATCATAAAAATCATGGAAGCCCAGGCGTCCCGCACCCAGCTTCCCCTAGGGATGCTACTTGACATGGCCGCAGGGTGCTGGCAGAGCCAGGGGACCATAGACAGGGGTCTGAGGACAAGCCCTTTTCATGGAGAATGCGTCATTTGTGTTCAAGCTGCCCTGGCCGCGTCAGCCACCACCCTCCTGCCCATTCCTCCTGTAAGGAGAGGTACAAGTGCCACCACCCCAGACCCCCGTCCTCACCCACGCCACCAAAACGCGGTCCCACAGTTGCCTTCCAGTCTCGGCGAAAGCTTCCGAAGCGAAGGCCTTTTGTAGGGTCGCATCGTGGCTTCTGTTTTCGTAGAGAGCAGCACACGTCTCCCCTTCCCACACCCCCGCCCACACCCCCACCCCGCTCCTGGTCGCAGCCCCTCCCTCCCACCGCCGCCACGTGCAGAGACAGGGAGTGGGGAGTGGCACAGTCACCACCAGCGAGAAGGAGCCGGGTCGACCTCGGGACTTGCAGGGTGGCCCCTGGCTTCTGTTCCCGCAGCTGGGTCCCCCTGCCCTGGGTCCCCAGCAGCCAAGACGGACTGGCTGGATAAGCCCCAGCTTTGTGGGATGATGGGGGTCCTCTTTGGAGCCGGGATGACTGGGGGCACGTGGCACGGCATCACGCAGGGCAGCCAGGCCTGTGTCTCTCCAGCCAGCAGCCTCGGCCCGCCTCTCAGCCTGGTGTCAGGGAGGGAAGGGGCGGTCAGCTGTCAGCCTCCTCCGTGTCAGGCGGGTGTTATCGCACATCGTCCTCTTGGCCTTGTGGGGACACGTGGCCATTATCCTCTAGTGTTGCAGACAAAGAGGTGACACTGGAGTGAGGAGGGAAGCCACATGGAAGCGAGGGCGCACCCACGGGCCGGCTCCAAAGCCGAGCGCTTCCCTGGAACGGGCCTCTTCCTGGTGCCGGGCGTCCGGGAGGAGCAGGAGGTCAGGAGATGAGGCCCATCCCCAAAGGTGTGACGCTCGAGCTCACACCTGCCTGCTGTGGGAACAGTGGGTATAATCAAATACCAGCCACCTAGTCTGGAGTCACCCTGGAAGGCTGCCTGGAGGAGGCGTGTATGTCGGCCTAGTGAGAAGGATCACCATCCGGGTGGGTGGAGGGGAGGGAAGAGGACAGGCGGGCAGGTGCGCCTGCGAAATGGCAGCTTCACACTTACTGACTTATTCAGTCACAGACTTCTTACAGAGTCCACAGCGTCACGTCACGGTAGCATCTCACCTACAGTTACCCACGATGTTTCGTACACGTATCACTAAGCAAGGACCGCCCGAACCCCGGGATACACACGCCAGCTCCAGCCCCACCCCAACCCGGAAACTAGCGGTTACCCTAACCCATCACACCCAGACCTGACACCCCACCCTAACCCTAACCTAGACCTTACACCCCACCCTAACCCTAACCCTAACCCATCACACCCAGACCTTACACCCCACCCTAACCCTAACCCAAACCTTACACCGCTCCCTAACCCTAACCCATCACACCCAAACCTTAAACCCAATCCTAACCCTAATCTAAACCTGGCCCTAACCCTAACCCTAATGTAACCCTCCCAATCCTAACCCTAACCCATCACACCCAAACCTTAAACCCCACCCTAACCCTAACCCATCACACCCAAACCTTAAACCCCACCCTAACCCTAATGTAACCCTGACCCTAACCCTAACCCTAATGTAACCCTGACCCTAACCCTAACCCTGAGTTAGGGCAGGCCCACTGTGGACACATGGCGCTCATTTCCCCATCTTTTCTTCAGCTCTGGAAGGCCACGTCATTGTCCCCATGTCACACAGGACACTGAGGCTCCGAGAGGTTAAGTGCAGGAAGGCCCAGCTCACGCGCCGCAGAGCCAGGATTCAGACACGATTCCTCAGGCTCGGGGACCACAGTGACTTCCTCGTGAAGCCCCGTAGGTTCTGGGGCCTGGAGCAGGGGCAGCACAGGGGGAGGGTCTGGCAGGCAGGGGTCCCAGGCTCGCCGGTCTGTGGCAGGCGGGGGTCCCAGGCTCACTGGTCTGTGGAGCAGCCCGTAGATACCTTGTGCTGACAACAGCTCTGAAAAGTGCTTTCTTGGCCCACTTGGGGTTGAGGTCCCCCGGGAGGCTCCTGGGGCATGTGGCCTGAGCCCACAGCCCTGGAGGTCTGCAGGGTGGCGGCGGACTCACCGAGGCTGGTCCCTGGACGTTCCCTTGGCCTTCTCTTGGGGGTCTTTGGTGGAGACAAACTGGGTTCCTCTCTCTGGTGATTAAACCCAGAATCGATTTCTCTCTTTGTAGAGGGTGCATCTCAGGTGAATGTGCCCAGGGCCACGCCCAGCCGCCTTCATCAGGGAGTGTGGTGTGGTCCTGCCAGCCG